ATCATGTGGCTTTCTCTTTACCACCTCTGTTATCATGGTGTTTATCAGCATATGTTAAAGATACAAAACAGATTTTAGTAACTAGGTATATTAACATTATAATAAAATACACATTTTTATACCGTAAATGTAAGTACCGGTACAATCTATAACACTTAAAATGATGCTAAAGTTCAGACAACCACAGCTGCCTTTTTTTTCTTTTTTCTTTTTTTTTTACAGTGCAGTTTAAACCCCGTTTTAGATTATTATTTTACTAGATGACTTTAGAGCCCTAAAAACAATGAACAGTTTGCTAGCTGTTAATGACAGTGGGAGTATACAGCTTTTCTAACTGGTCTTTACTTATATAACTCTGTACAGAAACAATGCAAAAACCACTTTAAAGTTCCTATTTAAAACCTTGCTATTAATGACATTATTTAACCCACTATTAACTAAAAGGAGGAACTAAAACATTGCAGCACTTCAGGTACATTTGAGTCAGGTTAAGCAAAATGTTGAAGTGAAACATACATTAATTTTGAGAATAAAGTGGAGATAAATTAGGACACACAAGGTATCTACACTTTAAATATGCAAGGCAATATAGGCAACATTTCTATAATGATTTCTATGACTACAGACAACAATGACCAGAAACCCTTGCAAATGTCATTCATCCCATGAGAGGTTTTATTCTCTGCTCAGTTGTACCCTCAAGAGAACAATCATGAACTTCTTCTTTAGTTAGTGAAGTAAAACAAGAATCATACTGTGGGTGTTGGAAAAAAAAGTGTCATTTTGTAAAGACCGCATGGGAAGGATGTTCTTAAATGGACAGGGGACATTTAAATTAAAGGATCTGTTCACTTTCAGAATACAAAATTCCTGATAATTTACTCACCCCCATGTCATCCAAGATGTTCATGTCTTTCTGTCTTCAGTCGCAAAGAAATTAAGGTTTTTGAGGAAAACATTCCAGGATTTTTCTCCATATAGTGGACTTAAATGGTGGCTGACGGGTTGAAGGTCCAAACTGCAGTTTCAACGCAGCTTCAAAGGGCTCTACACGATCCCAGCCGAGGAATAGGGGTCTTATCTAGCGAAACCATTTGCCATTTTCTAAAAATAAAAATAAAAATGTATATACTTTTTAACCAGAAAAGTATATAAATTTCTTTGCGACTGAAGAAAGAAAGACATGAACATCTTAGTGTCATTTTGTAAAGACCGCATGGGAAGGATGTTCTTAAATGGACAGGGGACATTTAAATTAAAGGATCTGTTCACTTTCAGAATACAAAATTCCTGATAATTTACTCACCCCCATGTCATCCAAGATGTTCATGTCTTTCTGTCTTCAGTCGCAAAGAAATTAAGGTTTTTGAGGAAAACATTCCAGGATTTTTCTCCATATAGTGGACTTAAATGGTGGCTGACGGGTTGAAGGTCCAAACTGCAGTTTCAACGCAGCTTCAAAGGGCTCTACACGATCCCAGCCGAGGAATAGGGGTCTTATCTAGCGAAACCATTTGCCATTTTCTAAAAATAAAAATAAAAATGTATATACTTTTTAACCAGAAAAGTATATAAATTTCTTTGCGACTGAAGAAAGAAAGACATGAACATCTTGGATGACATGGGGGTGAGTAAATTATCAGGAAATTTTTATTCTGGAAGTGAACAGATCCTTTAACATACCTAAACATCAGCAACTCGAGATACTTGAAATCAGCCATTAACTGACAAATATTAGAGGGCTGTAAACATTATAAAGAATATTCTATATCTTTTATATAAACATATACATTTTATAAAATTAGCTGTTGGATTTATAATGTTGGGAAACATAAATGTCATTTTCACTTTAACCCAATAAACACCAACAAGGTAAAAACACGAACCCAACAGCTGCTGCAACCTGGTGTTTGTTGGCTAACAAGTCAAATGTCCAAAAAGTGTCAACCGGATAGGCAGAAGACAGAATTGCTGACATTTTATTATTTTGTCATTCATTTTTGTTAGCGTTACTTAGCACCAAGATCCAAGATATGTAGACTAATCTTTATCAACTTGTAATCTAACATTTGTGGTTACTAAAGCATCATTTGAAAACACTGTTGAAATGTTGAAAAATATAAAAACGTTTGTGGAGGTTCAGGCTTTAACAAAGTGGGTCACACCCCTTAATTCACTTGTCAATAGATGAGAGAGTGAGATAAACCACCTACATAGACACTTTGGACAAACTAAAAGACAGACAAACACATTTTTAGGCAAGACACTACAGACAAAACCATCGTTTTTCATGCGCTGTTCAAATTTGAAATTTTGGGCTATTTGGTATTCAATACATATATTTCAAGGTCATTTTCTCAACATGTGTCTTTCCTCGTGAAATCAGAAATCTTCACTTCAGTAGCATTTACACACATACACCAAACTTTGCAGTTTCTAAAAGGAAGGAAAGGAAAGGACGTGTGGCGACCCATACTTGGAATTTGTGCTCTGCATTTCACCCATCCAAGTGCACACACACAGCAGTGAGTAGTGGACACACACACACTTTTGCTGGGCTCCCGGGGAGCAGTTGGGGGTTTGGTGCCTTGCTCAAGGGTCTCACCTCAGTCGTGGTATTGAGGGACTTTGCAGTTTCTAAAAGGAAGGAAAGGAAAGGACGTGTGGCGACCCATACTTGGAATTTGTGCTCTGCATTTCACCCATCCAAGTGCACACACACAGCAGTGAGTAGTGGACACACACACACTTTTGCTGGGCTCCCGGGGAGCAGTTGGGGGTTTGGTGCCTTGCTCAAGGGTCTCACCTCAGTCATGGTATTGAGGGTGAAAGAGAGCACTGTACATTCACTCCTCCCACCTACAATCCCCACCGGTACTGTGACTCGAACCTGCAACCTTTGGGTCACAAGTCTGACTCTCTAACCAATAGGCCACGACTGTCCCAGGTTGGTTCCTGTTTATGTTCTGAAGGTTTTTACAGAGGTGTTTATTCATATGTTATTCACCTGGCTTATATAACATTTTAACTCTAATATGTCAACAACAACAAAAAATGATACAATAATTTTTAACCTGGCTTTGTCCACTGTTCAGATTTCTGTTCTGGAAATGTATGCAAATTAGAGAATATTTAATTAGAGAATACATCATTTGCTGCTTTAAACATAATATTTCAGAAAACATGTAATATAAAACAACTGTCTTAATGTACTGTGATTTATCAATGAGAAAGCATGGTAATATCTACTAGTTAAACATTTTATGTCTTACCTTAAACCAGCCAGTAGAGATATAGCATTGTGTTAATGTATTATTGTACAACTCTACATATAATTTGGCAGTAAAACATAAAGTGTTTAGAGTAGAGATAAGAATGTGTATGTTATAAAACATGTGCAAGTGCAACTGCTTTTTATCATTTAATTAGAAGCACCACAATTAACTTGTGTTGTCTTTTTCAACAGTGACTACAGGGAACAAGTTTATTTTAAAGAGTAAAAGTATTGAAAATCAAAATGTGTAAATAAAGCTCTGTAAAAACACTATTGTATGTTCTGAGTTTGTCTACACTTAAGATCTTCATGTGCAGTTGAACATATGGGCCAAATACAGGAAATACTTCATGTAAGTGGTCAAGTTCAGAGACCACAAATGTGGGTATTGGGACAGGCCCAATGTATAAAATGATTCACCTGTTATATCCGCCAACTCAGCGTGCAAGAAGCCTGATCACTGTTGCCAACTCTCGCAAGACAAATAAGCAACCGCTGCTTCAAAAACAAGCCCAAAACAAGCCCAATTTTATTTATGATTTATTATCATCAATATTATTCGCGGATTTGGCAACTATTAGCCTGATTATGTCTGTGAAACACACTCACTGCTTGAGCTGTAGATGGCGCCAGAATATCTGGAAGGGAGAAAGGGACAGTGACTGAACAAAGGCAATGCCATAAGCAGCCATATCAGAAGCTAGTAAATAAAATGAGATAGCTAGCAACATAATTGTGATTACATCATAATTGTGATATTAAATACATATTTATTTTTAATAAAATATTTATTATAAATATTTACATTTATTCGTTTATTACAAGTACACGAATACTAGAAGCTGTGCGTTGTTGACTGACCTCTGCTGGTGAACACTTGTCATCATACCTCGTAGAAAACATGGCTGCCAACCAGAGCACAGAGTGGAGGACCGTGTGCGAGAAATTTCGTCTGGCCCAGGAACTCTCCGAAATAGAGTCGAGAAAAGACCCTGAGAACAACCCTTTCCGATCGAAATACAAAGCTAGAGACCTGTTGAAGGAAATCCATTGTTCGTTGAAAAAAAATCACATCGAGGAGGAGGAGGGCGAGGCTGACAATGAAGCAGACGGTGAGTCCAGGCAGATGGCGGATGGAGAACCGGGGAATGAATGTGGGAAAACGTGTATTGGAGACTCTCCAGCCGGTCTGCGAGCGGCGAGGCTCGCGGTGGTGCATTACTATCTCGGCGTGAACCACATAGAGACCGAGGAGCTGTCAGCTGGAGAGCAGCATCTGATGAACTGCATGAAACTCATTGACAAGTGCACAACGACACGGGAGAACGTCTCGTTATTTATACAGGCCCGGGTAAATATACACTGCATATATGAGCCCTTTCTCCTAAAAGCTTCATATAGGTAAATAAATGTGCAGTGTATTTTGGTGGTTGACTTCTGGTGTGTGATTGTACGTATTGTGTTTTTGACAGAATCAGCTCGGCATTTTGTGGGCGGGAAGAGATGAAATCGAAAAAGCACAAAGATTTCTGGAAATCGCCGAATCTATGTATTTGCTCTACATGAGAGAGGTGTGTGTGTGGCACGTTTAGTCTCCAAACCTAGTGAACTACCTACCTAAACAACGGCATTTTGGACATCATATTATGAGTTCCGCATGAAGTCGCTGTGACGTCTCCTCAGTATTTTAGCATAACCTGAATATATATATATATATAATATATATATATATACATGGAATTATTTCTTAAATATATATACTTGTGTGTGTGTGTGTATTTATACACGTGTAATATACACAGTACACACATACTATGTAAACACAAACTTTTATTTTGGATGCGATTAATTGTGATTAATCGATTTGACAGCACTAATATGTATATATATATTTACACGCACACATACATTGGTAGATGTAAATGTATGGTAGACATTGTAAACAGACTGTGTGGTCACAATCATGAATATGGTACTACTGATATAAACGTCTTGTATGCACGAAGCTCGCGAATGCCAGAATGTTAGTCAAGTCTGAAGCAAGATGCAACCCATAGCAGATAGTCAGAAGGCAGATAAAAATTAATTATAAATAAATGACTTTCGAGTGAAGCTCGAATGTGTGTGTGAGGCACTAAAACAGACCTCATTGTTCCTTGTGCGTCACATACACATTTGAGCATCTTTTTCTTTTTTGTTAATGGTGGTTGGCAAACCTACTGAAAGCTGCATACTACCACCTACTGCACAACACCGGCATGATAGCTGATGTAAAATAAGGATCAGGCTTAGGATAGCCCATACCGATCAGTTAAAAAAATGCTTAAACGGCCCGATCCCAATCCTTGAGATTGGCTTGGGACATCCCTAATAATGACCTCCATGACTCTGTAGTCAAGGTCATAGTAATTACTAATGAACTAATTGTCTCTGTTGTCGTTGTATCACAGACACGGTATATGGAGGCCCGTCACTGTTTGGCTGCGGCTAGTGTCATTGCTACTCTTGCAGGAGAAATCCCCTCAGAAGCAGCTGCCAAAGAAAGTGGGTTCCTGTCTGGTGTTCATTCTTGTATATTGTTGGATGTTGTGTATTTCCCTGCATTTCCATTGCTTTACTGAATGCCATGTGATGGTTGCTAAATGAAAACAAAACTCCCTAATTTTAGGCCGTTCACATGTGGCCTTAGTTTTACTCATAGTGAAACTTTAACTGTAATAATACTGTATTTGATTATAATAGTACTGAAACAATGGCATTTAACAAAAATCTGTCTGTTATTGCAACACTCATGCTTGTCGGTTGTTTTACATTTCATCAGATCCTGAGGTTGTACAAACCAACAAATTATGGTTTGTACAACTTTGGCCAAAAATACGGAACCTCTAACGTATAGAGATAAAATGTTAAAAAGTTAGTTTTGTCCAGAGACTCCATGAAGTACAAAAAGGTTATACCTACTAAACATCTTTGAAAGATCTAGAAAAGTGTTACAGTGGTGCATTTGAACATGGGACTAATGGTATTTACAAATGCAGAGTCAATGTTTTATATAAACTACCATTCAAAAGTCTGATGTCAGTATGATTTTTATGATATATATATATATTTTTAGAAGTTAATACTTTTATTGAGCAAAGATGCATTAAATTGATTAACAATGACAGTAAAGACATTTATAATGTTACAAAATATTTCAATTTCAAATAAATGCTGTTCTTTTGACATTTTTCCTGAAAAAAATATTAAGCAGCACACCTGTACTAATATTACAACATTGATGAAAAAATGTTTCTTGAGCAGCAAATCATTATATTAGAATGATTTCTAAAGGATCATGTGACTGAAAACTAGAGTAATGGCTGCTGAAAATTCAGCTTTGACATCACAGAAATAAATTACACTTTAAAATATATTAAAATAGAAAACATTAAAAATCCTAATATCCCCAAATAAAGACTTTTCCTGCTTTCCTTTTGTCTTACAGCACATTATTTAAAATAAATACATGTAGGTTTGAAATTATATAAATTACAATAAATTATGAATGTTCCCAAAGGTGATGCTGAATGTGAAAAGCGTGAAGAGCTCCTGCAGAAGCGAGCCGAAATTGCCAGATGCTGGATTAAATATTGCCTTAATCTGATGCAAGATGCTAAAAAACTTCTTGAGGTAGCCATGCTTTTTTTCTTTTACATTTCGAGAGCTTTGACTTATTGACATGATCTATCTAAGCATTTTCAATTGCTCCATAGGATAATATCGGAGAACTAGACTTAGAGCGGCAGGAAGAATTGAAGAGGGCACGTCGGAATGAAGAGGAAGAAAAAGAGAAGGGAAGAAAAAGCGCCATCCTTTTTGGTTCAAGCGATACCTTTGACTCCATTTGCAGCCTGGAAGAAAAAGTAAGCAGCATGCTTCCACTAGACTTTGAAGAAGCCCGTAGCATCTTTCTGATGGGTCAAAGCTACGTAGCCCAGGCCAAAGAGTATTTCGCAATGGATGGTCACGTGACAGATCACATTGAGATCTTGCAGGACCATAGTGCTCTCTTCAAGGTCCTGGCCTTCTTTGAACAGGATCTAGAACGGCGCTGTAAGATGCACAAACGTCGCGTCGACCTGCTGGAGCCAATCTGCAAGGATTTGAATGCTCAATACTATTTGTTAATCTGCCGACAGCTGCAGTTTGAACTTGCAGAAACCTATTATGAGATGATGGACCTGAAGTTGGCTGTGGCTGACAAGCAGGATCAGCCAGATGTGCACACCATAAAGAAGTTTAACCACTTGTGTTCCTCCTCTATGAAGTATTATCAGATGTTCCTCGACTCCACCCGCTCACCAGAGGGAAAGTTTCCTGAAAAGCTGGAGGATGACCTGTTAAGGCCGGCGCTGGTGGCCAAATTCCGTCTCGCCAGATTACAGTCCAAGCTTATTTCCAATAACCTGGCCACCCAACTGGAGAATCTCACCCACTCCCTGGAGTCATACAGTTTCGTAGTGCAATACTGTGAGGAGAACCCAGAAGCCAAGAAGGCTGTTGAAACTGAGCTAGAGTTGAGTATTGAGATGGTCTCCCTGCTTCCTCTTAAGATCAACAGAATTAGATCCAAAATGGCCCCCTGCAACTAACAGGCTGTTGAAAACAGTTCATTGTTGTCCCTCATATAAATATGAACACCTGACAAATATACACTACCCCTTGTTCATTGCCAGATCTAATGAGCCTTCCTAGGACCACCTTGTAAGAAACTCCTTCAACTGTAGAACCATTTATCACAAACTCTTGTGGACTGATGTAACTGCATGATTTACAGTCACTAATTTATTTTCAGTGTGCAATGTACAATTGTATTTAATGCAGTAAAATGTTTGTTTCAAATATCATGATTGGTATGTTTAGCTGGCCCAAGATTTAAGATATAGCTGTACTTCTATTCAAGCATTTTATGCCAATAAACATGCAATAATAAAAAAAAAAATCTTTGTTTTGTCTTATTCAGTCAAGACAAATTTCAGCTTATTCACAGTATATTAAAGGAATGGCTTACCCAAAAGTCAAAATTAACTGAAAATGTACTCACCCTTAGGCCATCCAAAATGTGCATGAGTTTGTTTCTTTGTCGTAACAGATTTGGAGAAATGTAGCATTACATCACTTCATCTGCAGTAAAAAGTTAATAACATTTTAGTGTTTGTGTAAACTTTTCCTTTAATTGTAAATTTCCATTTACACACACACACACACACACAGCTTAGTTTATTAGCAGCCAACATTGTGCAGCCACAGCCATTATAGCTGGCCGATTATGCGGCTGAATGCAAAGAGGAAAGTACCAGAGACTACAGTGCCTGTTGTAGTAATATCATTTAATTGAGTTGATGTAGCAAAAATACTTAGAAATCTTAAAAAATAAAAAAAAAATTAGACTAGAGATTCTTCATCAAGGATGTGGTTCATATTGTACAAGATGGATCACAGATTAGAACAGCATTCATAATATGATCTGATTTCACAGAGTGAACTGTGCAACTAACTGCTGTTTTCAACAGACGGTTGACCCGCAAAGTACCCAAACTTATTGCATTTCCTTCTCTAAATATTTCAATAATACCATTCTGGTGCATCTCTTTATTGTTATGCTAAATCTATTGTATATTCATGATAAACAACTAATATCAAATAATTACCAGGATAGATCACTGACTACGGTTGTATGCCACGTTTTCACAAATTATCAACTAGAGTCTGCAATAAGAGTCTTGCTGCAGTTTAAATTTGTTTATTAAATTCATTTTTACTCTCATTTTCATACATTATAATCCAGTAAAACCCAGTGGTTTTGTGTCTATAATAATCCTTTCAGTTTGTGTGATCAGTTTTAGGTTAGATTAAACTAAAGAAACCTCTTGCGTGGATGTTATAGTCACAGAAAAAAAGAAATACACCGAATGTTGTCATAGCTTTATCTGAGTAACCGTTAGAGAAGAGATGCAGAGAGTGCAGGGTTTTTCCCAAAGGAAATGACATCATGTTTTAGTCAAGTCTCTGCAAGGAGCAAATATGTCTTGCTCAGAGGAAGCTTTACCAAACCGAAATTACACACTCTGTTCTTGAGATATCTGATCATTATACTTGAAATATGAGTAAATGTCCTGTGTCTGCGTGTTTGGGACTCTCTCTCTCGGTCATCTTCAGTCTGAGAAATAAACAAACTTCAGCCGCCGAACTTAGCCAAGAGTTAGGTATATAGTTTGACAGACACCAAACTCAATGTACATTCCACCTCAGTGCCATTTAAAACATGAAGATTGTTTAGAAACATTTTGAAACACCTTCTTCATGTACAACTGCGTCTTTGAGTTTTAGGTCTCCTTTATTATCTGAATCAGTTGTCAGGTCATTTCCTTAGGCCTACATTATATTTAATGCTGTACATTAAGTCCAATATTTGTGTTCTCAAAGTAATCATACTTAAAAACTGATCAAAAAAAGTGATTAGTCTGGTTGCTACAGTATGGCCAAATTAGCAGTGTTAACAGAAACAGAAACTCCCCAGCAGACATCACTTGCAATACTTAATAATCCTCTAGACAGAATTTCCCACACTTTCCTTTTGCTTATGCATGTAATGGAAAACTCCTCTCTGTCTATGCTGTGTGATAATAAAAGGAGAAACCCTTGTCATTTCCTGTGTGTGCAAAACCCACTTCCTGCAAGCTATGACAGCTTTGTATCAACTGTGTTGACACTGTTATATACTGTGCACAACACTGCTCCACTATATTTTACTGTTTCACATATATTTAAAAAATGTATTCAGATGCTCATATTTATAGCAACATATTACATATCCCTCTCACGTCAAAAGACAAAAATAATTTGTATATATATATAGCATTTCTTGTCAGTGGTTCATTTATCAACACATGGACAGTAATACACATTACGAGTAATACACATTAGTAAACACAGTTGAATTTATTCATTCAAAATGTATACATGTACATGCAGTCATTCTTTTGGTTTGTTAAAAATGCTGTCGTATGTTATTAATCCTGTAGAATTTCGTTTTGATGTTATTCCAAGTAATCTAGTGGGAGTGACACCAACCCATTCCCATGCGTTGTGTCTTTGTTCTGGGGAAAAAAAAACTAGTACTGTAACTATATGGGTGATTCTGCAGAATTTTACTTCATTAATCATAGGCTGTTGGTTAATATTGCTCAACATCTCAGACAAGTTACAACAACAAAATGTAAATACTGTGGTGGCATGAAAAGATTTTAGAAACTGATGGTGTCCATGATGTGGGGCAATGACTTTCAGGATGTTACAGCATATTTGCTGCATTTGTTGCTCAAGTCTGTGCCTGACACACTATAGGGTACAGATTAAAAATAAAATAACTGAATTTCACTTTTTAAAGATAAGAGCAAATCCATAAACATGGAGCATATAAATGATGGACTGATGTCACTTCCATTATAAAACTGGCAAATTAATTCATGTAGAATACTAGCCATTTGTCACTCACTTTAGCTAGGTTCTAGCTTTCAGTTTTCCAATGCCTTTTTATTAGTTTATGGATTGATAACACATACATTCCAAAATCATTTTTTATTGTAAATCAAATTATGGTTCTCTCATTGGACCTTTTTTCTCATATTTTTTGTTTCGTTTTAATCTGACTTGTTTTGCCATTCCTGTTGTGTATTTTTAAAACGACGTTTGGATTCCTTTGTGTATTAGTAGGCTAATACACAATTGTGTTTTTTAGGATTGAGTGTTGAGAAACCTTGCCAAACCGAGCTGCTGTAGGCTGCTTTCAGGAAACAATGACGCACACAGGGGCAGGGTCTTTTACAGAGGCTACTATTGAACTGGGAAAAGTTCTTGTCCGACGTTCATCTGAAGACATTTTCTTTCGCATCTTCTGCTCGACAGTGACAATAGAATGAGAATTTACCACAGAATAACTTTGGCACTGGCAATAATATGCCTTTTTGGGGACAGCGGACTGGGTAAGTTTTTTACGCATTTTAAGATCAGATGTTAAAATAGATGATAAAGTTGAAGGTTAATGGACTGTTACGGAAAGTGTTTCTGGGTTTTAGAAACTGCGTGTCTTCATGTAAAGTTCAAAGGAAATCATTATAAATTATATTTTAATCAAATCAAATCAAATAAAATGAAGTAACTTTCAACACCAGTAGTTGTCTGTCAACTCCATTTTTCAGTTAACGTTATACTGAAAAAAATATACATCCAGCTCGATGTATAATTAAGCTTGACATGACGCTTTTAATTAGTCAATTAAAAAGAAAGAAAGAAAAATAATTTACTTACATAAATTCACTATATCGAGCGTTTCCCATACTGACATTAATTAGTAGGCTAGCTTAATAATGTTTTTTTTTTAATAAGTGTGGAAGTCATAATTTACTTGTTCTTCGATTCCGATATCCGGTTCATTAACGGGTCTATCAACTAATCTTTTAATACTTTTGAGGAGGAAATATTTAGATTCTTGATATTCTAAATATTTAGATATTGTATCTTATTGCACATACTGTGCTCGGCAGGTTGTTGCCGATTAGCCTAAATCATTTTATTTCAACAGTAGAGATAGGTCGGGTCGAGATGTGTGGTTTTGAATCACTAAAAAGATCCGGCTCATTAGAATCATTCGTTCGTATTTCGGACTACACTGCAATGTGAAGCATGGTTTTGATTCACTAAAAAGAACCGACTCCTTGGAGTTGTTAGTTTGGGAATCGGACTAGACTGATCACTTCGCGCTGTAGATTCAGTAGCGGTGTTGCCGCGCCGCTGGGTAGCAGCTGCAGGAAATTGTTTCATATAGAGAAAAATGTCATATAGCACGATATTCTTCGGCGGAATTCAATATAATACATAATAAAAATACACAAACAAACAGACATTAAATAAACAATGCATAAGATTATACATAATAAATAAAAACTTAAACACATTGAATCTATTTATAAATACAATTTGTGCTTAAAAATGACAAAATAGGCTACATAATAAAAACACAGAAGATATTTAAATAATCTGGCATGTTCATTATTAAAAAATCATTCCCGAGGAGTTTGAGGACGGTGTTAATGTCTGACAAGCCCCTCATCTGTCATTCTTTATTATCCCTGAACACAGGAGCCCCATACAAAGGCAGGTATATGTGGGTGAAATGCAACCCGGATCATAAGAATGCAAACTGTGTCACACAGATGGGCCCCTTGGTGCCCCTCTCAGGGCAAAGCTCTCGACTTCCGCCTTCTGCTGCAAAACACATGTAAGTTGCCTGTTTATTCATATATAAAATATTCATATTTATGTCTAAGATTAGTCAAAACTAACAGGAAGTATGCACGCCACTTCTACAAATTAACTTTCATTTAATTAGATTTTGTTTTAATAGCACAACAAAAAATCATATCGCCACTATCCCTGCTGTCATATCTTGTGTTACATCTTAATCATCCAGCGATAGTCTAATAATTTCAAAATCTGCAAGAGGAAGCTGGAGTTTTTACATACCCGTATAGGGCTTTTAAAGAAATCCTTCAGGGATGTTATCAGGGTGTTAAAATAACAACCAGCAAGTAAACAAAGGGGTCTGTAAAACAGAAAGAACTGTAAGAGATTTTTTTCTACCTACAGGAAGTACTGATTGCTTCCTCATTAAGTATCATATAGAAAATGGAGATTAGATGAGAAGTTTAAGAAATGAAACTATTTAACAAAATATGCTGAAGTTGTTGAACGTCAGGGGGATTTCCCAAATCACTCATATGTTGTGACATATTGATTGTGAAGCTTCACCACATGATTCAAATCTCTGTTATCGTTTTCTTGGCAGTGCAGATTATTTCTGCTGAAAGTAGTTTAGACTATGTCTTTTCTTGGAAATATAAATATTCATAAGGCTTTACAGATGTTTTCGGCAAGGTTTTATAATGTCAAATATACATTTTTAGTTCTCATTCCTGCAACAACAAATGTTGTGTATTATATAACTAGATAAGGTCCTAGATAAAGCACTCAAATGTTTCATCATTTCTGCTAATCAAACAATGTGATTATGGTTTTATTGATATCAATGTAACATCAATGTTTTTTAATTAGTTCTTCAGATTGTGCCTTTACTCAGCATTTCTCATGCTGAATCACTTCCTTCCACACATCAATCACATTGACATCACAGCAGCTGGATCTCCTCAAAGTGTTCACGATCTTCATTGCCGGAAAACATAATATCTCACAGATCAACAAGATAACTAGCATATTTCTCAGTAAATTAAAGGCATAGTTCTCCCAAAAATGAAGATTTTGTCATCATTTTTTTAAACACAAAAGAAGATATTTTGAAGAATGTTGGCAACCAGATTCTGGTTGGTAAACAGTTGGCAACAACAATGTTGGTAAACAGTTTCTGGTCTCCATTGACTTCCATAGTAATTTTTTCCATACTGTGGAAGTCAATGGCTACCAGCAACTATTTGGTTTCTTCAAAATATCTTCTATCGTTCAACAGATGAAAGAAACTCATACAGGTTGGGAACAACTTGAGTGTGAATAAATGACAGAAATGTCTTTTTTGGGTTAACTGTCCCAATGTTCCTGTTATTCACTCACTGTTTTTGTTAACGGTTACATTTCCCAATATCTTCCCTATACTACTCTACACATAGTGCTTGTCACAAGGAATATGTCATTTTTATTTAGACATTCCATTTTGTTTTTTTAAGTCTAGAGTGGGGAGGTCAGTGAGATGGTTAAGAAATGGGCTCCTTATGTTCTCAGCAAAATTACAGGAAGGGCTGAGAGGATGTTGGAGCGCTCTAGAATGACTTTGTGCTTTTGTTTTCAACAGATTCCCAGTTAGCACAGAGGAAGCCACTCCTGAGACGGAGGAGCAGTCAGGAGAGGGTTCAGGTAACTCAGACACCTTCGCTCCTTTTATCAGCATGGATCAGCAGTTGATGAGAGACGGTCCAGAGCAAGAACTCAACAAGAATGAAGAGGAGGGATCAACTGTCGAGTCCAGTGGAGACATCGATTACTCCGAATATGTTTCAACTCAGAAAATAGATTGGCTTTCTAAACAGGATTTGAAAGAGGAAGACATTATTGCATAAAGGGCTACATTACATCTCATGTGCTTTTTCTTTTTCTTTTTTTTGAACCATACGGGATGCTGCTTTTTTGGTCACAGATATAATTCATATATATTCTTAAAATGTGACATGATCTGCAAAAGTGTATTGTATTCTAGTTTGCATTGTAAGGATCTATTTTTATTTGCTCTTCAACTTTGAAACTTTTATATTATTATTATTATTATTTTATGTCCACAGTGTGACCCATGATCTGTATTAAAGGGGTCATATGATGCTGCTAAAAAGAACATTATTTTGTGTATTTGGTGTAATGAAATGTGTTTATGCGGTTTAAAGTTTAAAAAACACATTATTTTCCACATACTGGCATTTGTCTCTTATTTTAAGCACTTTACACCAGAAAAAGGAGGAATGAACTGTATTGAACAAATGTTCTAAATATGAGATGAGGTCAGCCGTTCAGGCTTCCTGTTTTACCAGAAGTGTCATCACACTTTGGCTATATCTTGTGCATTTCCGGACACATCTCATGACCTGTTTCTCAGCATCTAGAGAGTACAGACATAAAGTTTAGAATCATTCTGTATTTAGAGCAACATTATACAATTATTTTCAAGAGGTGCAAACGTGCGGATTCAAAAGTATGGCATGTGGTTAAGATGATACACTGCCTTCAGAAACCATTTACACCCACATTTCATTTCTGTTACACCTTCAAAGTTACACCAAAACAGTAAAATATTTTTCTTGCTTTAGATTCAAAACTTTTTAGGAGCAAAAGCAGATTTTCGTCTGGATTTAAAGCTGGACTTTCATGGGGCCATTTCTGAAAACTATTCTTCACATTGCTAGCAAACTCCAGATGTGACTTTATCAGAAGTGGCAGCCACTCTTTCAAGAGCCGAAGAGATCAGTATCTCCAGTTTCTTCTATTTCAGCCAAAGAGATCTGCAACTCCTTAGTGTTGTGGCTGGCCTTCTGTTCACCTCTGACCATCGCTTCATTTGAATAGCTGGCCTGATATCAGAAGAAGTTTGTGTTGTGCAATGTTTCATCTGTTGTGTAACACATTTTACAGTTTCAAGGGACGCTCAAGGAAAGTTAATTAAATTTAATTAAATAACATAAAAGAAAGAAAATCATGCTTTTAAATATTACTTTGCAACATAGTCTGAAAACATGTAGGTTTCTCAGAGCACGTTTAAAGTTTTTTTTTTACCAATAGACATAGTGGGGCATGTTGTCACAATATATGGGGTATATTTACCACAATGCAATATGCCATTCAGCCGTCTACTAAAGGCTTTTCAGTAAAATGTAAACAGTAAAAATTTATAAAGAACATAAAACAATTAATGAAATGGCACAAATGCAAAAGGTGGCATACAAAATTGTGATAAAATTGTTCTGACCACCAGAAATTTTACTTAAAGGGTTAGTTCACCCAAAAATGAAAATTAGCCCATAAATTACTCACCCTCAAATCATCCTAGATGTATATGACTTTCTTCTTTCAGACGAATCCAGTCGGAGTTATATTAAAAATTGTCTTTGATCTTTCAAGCTGTTTCATGGCACTCAGCGGTGTTGTGTCATCCGCCCGGAGCTGCTTCCGTTTACAACAGTGAGTGCAAGCTAGATTTAATTGATTATTACGTTTTAAATATGGTTATTTTTCTTACAAAAACGCATCGATTCGCTACAGGAGGCCTTTGTTCACCCCCCGGAGCCGGTGAACTCATTTGAACTCATGTGAACACATTTTTTTGTGGAAGGGTGCTTTTTATTTCACGTATTTTGGACTGAAGGAATGCAACACTCGCTGAGTACAACGATAGAGCTTGAAAGATCAAAGACCATTTTTAATATAACTCCGACTGGATTCGTCTGAAAGAAGAAAGTCATATACACCTAGGATGGACTTGAGGGTGGGTACTGGTAATTTATGGGCTAATTTTCCTTTTTGGGTGAACTAACCCTTTAATAAATTTTATAATTCAGTTATTGAAATAATCACAACAGACACAAATAGAGTACAAAATAATGCCTGAAAGTATAAAAAAATAAAAAGTTTTTCTTTTCTTTGTTTGTTTGTTACCAACCTGTTATCAACATTAGGTGCATGGAAAAAAGACAAATTCTAGCATTTTAATATTACAACACGAATATATCTAAACTAAATGTATGTGAAGGAGTGTGTGAAATATATTATTATTAATAATAATAATAATAATGTGTAGATGCATGCTATTTGGGCTTTTATTGCTTTCTTTATCCAACAGCTACAAAATATGATTATACTAATTATGGGATAAAAATAAAACTAATAACTGAGAAAGTATGAACAAAAACCTTACCAACATAACAATATAAAAAAAAAAAATACAAAAAAAAATACAAAAACTTTTATTTTGAAATTCAGTAGCATGGTTAATGCTTCAGAGCTCACACGTTGTGTTCCCGTCGGTCCCAGTCCGTTCAGGAATAGGGATCCAGCGGAAGCTGTACTGAGGAGGACTGCGTTACAGCTAAAGCCACGGAGCTGAAATGGTGAGCGTTAATTCAGACTGCAATTAATGGTTAAAATTCTTGCACTTACTACACCGCTTGCCTTATTCCCTCTGGAATAATAGCTCACGATCATGGCGAACAAGTTTGCAGTGTATTCAGTCTAAAGTAGGCCATGGAAGTCGTGAAGGATTGGGTGGGGAGGCTGCTTATTATCATATCAGTCAGCGATAAAACACTGAGAAAACACAGTAAACGGACTCTAGTGACTGTAAAAATGGGCTCTAATGGAGCATATGTAAATTTTGAGCTTGTTTAAAAAACTTACATCCACGCAAATCCTCCAGGACCGTTAAAAACATCTGTAAACCTGAAGGTTAAATCCAAACTAGATACCGAGTTCATGCTGTTTTTCACTAAAGTGAAGCTGTTTGTAAGTAACGTTATACAAATTTGCACACAGTTAAATGTTTCTACAGCGCTTCCTCTCTCCGTATGGATATTGAGCAATGCACATGATAGTTAGACGTTTTCCGCACTGCGTCAGCGTTTCCTTTAGCTATTCCATAGATGTGATTATATTTGTATTGAGACATATTTAACAGTTAAGCTAATAGCAACATATGTTAATTTATGTGTAAAATTACTGTGTAAAACGGAAGACACCAACTAAAATGCTATTCAGTGTAACAATAGTTCATATACCAAAAAGTTTTGTCAGGCATCTTTAGAACAAGAAACATTTGGTGACATTAAAAGAAATAACATAATTTAAGGATCATTAAGGACCCCAAAAACTCCTTCAAACCAAATTTTTAATCATTTAAAATATAGTAAAATTTAGTATGCTCACTTTTTCTTTTTACATATTTTAAGTACAGGTCAGAATTCATATGTTGCTACATCGAGTTATGAGTTACAGTCTGTTACACTGAATGACAATGGAACATTATTTCACACATATTTTGACATTTTATTTTCACAAAAGTTATTTGAAACATTAAAGGGGTCATATGATGCGATTTCAAGTTTTCCTTTCTCTTTGGAGTGTTACAAGCTCTTGGTGCATAAAGAAGATCTGTAAAGTTGCAAAGACTAAAGTCTCAAATCCAAAGAGATATTCTTTATAAAAGTTAAGAGTCAACCACGCCTGCCTAAAACGGCTCGTTCTAACACGCCCCCACACTGTAAACCCGAACAGTACTACTAACTTATAAAGATTATTGACCATTAAAGCATGTCAACATATTCTGTTACACCAAATACACAAAATAATGATCTTTAAAATAGCATCATATGACCCCTTTAAAGTAGACACTCTACTTGCATTTAATATGCTTTACAGGTATGTAAAATCACTTTTGTAAATTTAATTTGATGCGGACACCAAAATGGGACGTCTCATCTTTGACTCAAACACAAAGTATGTGAAATGAAACACATCAGTCGACATAAGATGAAAATTCACCTTATCTGTTTTTTAAATGCATTATAGATCTTTTTGTAAATTATTCATACATGCATATACTTTTTTAAATAATTTTTTTTGTAATTTATTAATCAAACTGTCACAACTCAATCTGGATTTATCCAATCATTTAATCTGACTAAACTCCACCCCTTTCTTAGAATCAACTGCAAGCTCGCATTCAGATCTGCCTTCATCCAATCAACAACTGATGAATGGAACCAAGTCCCGCCCTAAATTTTTTATTTTTTTTTTGATCATCTGTTTAACTTAATTATACGTCACAATATGGAGAAAAAGATTTGTTGCTACTTCCGTTTTCATCATGACTTTAATAATATAAAAGAAATACACAGAATAGAATGTAAATGTAGCCTAAATTAAGTCGCCACTCAGCAGGGACTAAAGACATAAATATGAATTTAATCCTTAACTTGGTTAACGAGGTGAATTGAAAAAAATAGAAAGATATTATGTAATTCTTTCAGAGTTTCCTTGGAGGTCTGTTTGGTCCAGTGTGTGAAATCGATGTCATTCTGAACGATGCTGAAAGCAGAAAAACAGCCGAGCTGAAGACTGAGGATGGGAAATTGGAGAAGCATTATCTGTTTTATGATGGAGAATCGGTTTCAGGAAAGGTGAGCGGGTAGACATCTCCTGTGAGAGTCCTTTCCTAGAGTCTCTTAATTTCAAAGACAATTGACGTGTATTGTGTTATGTCACCCCAAGGTAAATATCAATGTGAAACAAACAGGCAAAAGACTTGAACATCAGGGAATTCGCATTGAGTTTGTAGGACAAATCGGTGAGTTAACACATTCAGTTATTCTCTTTCTCAAGGTATTCATGCAGCAAACCAGCTTCAGTATCGCTGTTCTACTGTGCTGAGAGCTTAGGAGAGCATGTGGTTGTCACATGGAAAGGGAGCTAGACTGCTCTAAAAAATGTTTGTTATGGTGCCCTAGTTGAACTCATTATTACGGCCAAAAATATTTTTATTTCCTACACTGTAAAAATTATTTTTCAAAGTTGTAAATAAAAACAAAGATTATTGGACATTTTTACAAGAAAATAGTTTCTTTTCTTTTTTTACTTCAAAATTTCACTTTTAATTAAATGTATTACTTGCAATTATTTTGTAATAGTTTGTGAAATTTTTAGGAATCATTAGTGATTCTGATTGTCTCAGCAATCTCAAAATTGCTGCTTACAATGTCTTTTTATATGTCTAGACAGCATAAGAACGCGTGTGTGTGTGTGTGTTTTCCCGTCATGCAGAGCTCTTCAGTGATAAAAGCAATACTCATGAGTTTGTAAACCTTGTGAAGGAGCTCGCTCTGCCCGGAGAGCTGACACAGAACCGCAGCTATGACTTTGAGTTCATGCAGGTGGAAAAGCCATACGAGTCTTATGTTGGAGCGAATGTGCGATTGAGGTTAGTGAAGACTTTGTAGATGTTTTTTTTTTTCTTTTCTTCATCGTGGCTAAGTTTGGCCAAACACTAATGAGAAAAATCACATTATTTGTCTTTTGACGGCTGCTTTAGGACACAGTTAATCTTTAAAATTTGTCCTGGCTTTAATTTAAACTTTATCTTTTTCAAAAAGTCAGACAAGATCATGTGCTTTTTATATCTCTGCAGGTATTTCCTTAAAGTGTCAATTGTGAGGAGGCTGTCTGATTTGGTGAAGGAGTATGACCTCATTGTGCATCAGCTGGCCTCCTACCCTGACGTCAACAGCTCTATCAAAATGGAAGTGGGCATTGAAGACTGCCTACATATAGAGTTTGAATATAATAAATCCAAGTAAGTGCACTTAAAACTTTACTGTTGATTTAATCCTAGTTACATAAAGTGAGTTGCTGAGTAATTCTAAGTATGTATGGATTCATTGGCTTAAACGTATTAGTCTAAATGAGCTAAAAAAAAGTATTTTTGCCTATCAGGTATCACCTCAAAGATGTAATTGTGGGTAAAATCTACTTCTTACTTGTACGGATTAAAATCCAACACATGGAGCTTCAGTTGATTAAGAAAGAAATGACGGGAATTGGTATGATGATCTTTTGTGTTAAGTTTTATACACATATATGTGAATATGATTTATGCATGACTGTTTTGAAAAAATATATCTAATTTGTGATTTTTTTAAAACTAAAGTTATTATTAAAGAACATTTATAGTAGTCCAGTTTCTTTTGCATGTTATTTATTTTAAACAAGAACATTTCTTTATATACACTACCATTCAAAAGTTTGGGGTTGGTAAGATTTTTAAAATGTTTTTGAAACATTTTAAGCATTTTTGCTCACCAAGGCTGCATTAAACACAGTAAAACAATACTATAAAAACGGTAATATTGTGAAGTATTATTACATTTTACAAAAATAATATTTTCTATTTTACTATATTTTAAAGTGTAATTTATTCCTGTGAATCTGAATTTACTGCAGCCAGTGTCACATGATCCTTCAGAAATCATTCTAATATGCTGATTTAGTGCTCAATAAACATTAATTTATCAATGTTGAAAACCATTGTGTTGCTTAATATTTTTGTGGAAACCATGATATATTTTTTCAGGATTCTTTGATGAATGGAGTTCATCAAAAGAGCAACATTAAAAAAAAAAAAACGAGTTCAAAAGAACAACATTTATTTGAAATATAAATCATTAATAACATAAAATATCTAATATTTTAATATATATAAAAAAAATTGCCCCCAAACTTTTGAACAATCGTATATTTGTAATTTATTTTTATAAACGTAGTTTTTTTTTTTCATAACTTAATCACTTAAAATTCATTAATTTCTCATTTGGTGCTGAATAATGTAAGATTGATGAAGTGCATCGTGTGACATGCTTCTCTAGGGCCGAGCACAACTACTGAGACAGAGACTGTGGCCAAATATGAGATTATGGATGGAGCACCAGTGAAAGGTGAGCAGCTGCTTCACACCATTTTCTGTATCATTTTGTAATGATATGAGTGTAGATGAGTCTTTTAAAAAGTTTAATAGCTACTACAGAAGACAGAGTACTAATGCCAGGTAGAACATAAATAATGGGCCTCATTCAGGAATCAGAACAGAACAAATTTCTGTGTAAACCATTCATTAAAACTTTCGTGCATGAATCATCACATTCAGTTTAAGGCAGGGTTATTATAGTAAAATAAACTAAAGCCATACAAAATGTTTTTACTTGAAATAAAATAAAAAAGAACTTAAACGTTTTATTTCAGCTAGTTGCCAAGGAAACATCTCATTTTCATTTAGTTTAATTGATGTCATAAAATAACTAAAACTGAAATTAAAAATTAATAAAAGCTATACAAAAAATAAAGCTAACAAAAATGACTAAACAACCAAATTACTAAAACATCAGCTAAAATATAAAAATGAAAAATAATTCAAAATATTAAAAAAAAAAACTTTAATAGTATTTCAAAGATACTAACACTGGTTCAATGCTTCATATGACATTTATATATTGCCAGTTTCATTATTCCTAAACTGACTTTTTTCTTCCTACTGTGCTAAAAATGTATTTCTAGGTGAATCCATTCCTATTCGCCTTTTCCTGGCTGGTTATGACCTTACACCCACAATGAGAGATGTAAACAAGAAGTTCTCTGTGAGGTACTTTTTGAACTTGGTGCTTGTGGATGAAGAAGATAGGAGATACTTCAAACAGCAGGTACAGTTGTAATCAAATTTACAGTATGAAAAAAAATTATATAAAATCTATAAGAATTATATAAAAATTGTACTTTCAGTGTCTCTTTGTCCAGCAAGTTGAATAGAATGATTTGTATTATTTGTAGGAAATAGTTTTGTGGAGGAAGGCACCAGAGAAACTGCGGAAACGGAACTTCCATCAGCGCTACGAGTCACCTGAGCCTCGGCCGAGTCTCTCTGCTGAGCAGCCGGAAATGTGAGCGGGTTTTGGAAAGCAACCATCCAGGGACACACATACCTCTCAATGACCAGTCGCAGGAGAGGAGAACATCTTCCACCGAACATACATGCAGATCGCTGTTCACATGGTCACCCCTCACAGCTTATGGTGATGAACTGTGCCTGATTTGGCTCTGTCCTCCCTGCCGTCTACAGCAAGCAATCTGTTAGTATACAAGGACACTTTTTAGAAAGCACTGGAAACAATGTAAGTAATCTAGCACATCTTGAATGTTGCACGCCTCCCTAGATGAAGAAATGTTTTTAAAAGTGCACTCACTGGTATCCTCTATGTTCCACATCATAGAGCAGAAACACATAGAACTGAACACATTTTAAAGAGCTTCTTCATGCATGCTAGCCGCTGAATCTGAGTGCATAGTAACAGTTAATAAAGGCAATGGTGTCAGTTTAAAAAGATCAAGAAATGTAATGGCACCCAGGCTACACTGTATTTGCAATCCACTTAATGTTGTAAAACATTTATATTTAACTTATTTAGCCATCTTCTCTGTTGTTTGTTTGTTTCTTAAATAATCTTTGTTAAATGAATTCTGTCCTTGAAATAAAAAAGTGTATATATATATATATATATAAAATATTTAAAGAGGTTTTGGACTAGAAGCTTTATAAAACTAGGGCAGTTTGTGTAATTATATTGGGCACATGTATTCAACTTGTCAGCCCAGTTTTGAATAACATACTGGCTTAGTAGTAAAAGTGAATTTCTGAGATGATTCATTGCTATTGATTGCTAAATATCATCTCTGCTGCAAATACATTTCATACTGTCTAAATTGTTAGAAGCCCCAGAGAAATGATGGAATTTTGTTGTATCCTTTGCATGTCATCCTGCTACAATGTTTCCTAACAAAGGGGGATGTTAACAATTTTTCATTGTTGCAAATGTGCTCTAGCATTTTTTGTGGTTTATGGATTAAATGTTTATTTGGACCTTTTCATTTTGAAACCGTTTTTGATTTCACTTTAAAACCAAATGTATTCTCTTTTTTTCCATTCTTCTATTGCTTCGATTTTAAAACTCACACTACATTACTAATGGAAAGGTCTGTGTACAAAGCGATTGAGTGCCCCAATGGAAAAGACATAACGAGTGTTTGGAGAACTGATTGAATAGATGTGCTACGGCAACTGAGTCATTTGTACATCTTGAAAAATTGTACATATCAAGTCATAGTTTGTTTATCTGCCAATGTCAAATAAAAATGCAAGTTTATACTTACAGCTACACTATGTATTTTTTTAAAATATCAATGTTATTATTGAGTGGTGCTAAAAATCCATCTTTCAAACAATGTTTTACCTAGAAAAACTTGTTAAACCTACCATAGTGACTTGGAGCTGTCGGGACCACTGATCTATATATAATATCTATTATAGATCAGTGTCGGGACGGATTTCGCCGGAAATTCCATACATACGTCATTCGCATGTGCGTGTCACGTCATATTCATAGCAAAGTCATGGTGAATTTAGTTTACCGGTTACAGTCTGCTGTAAAACATTTCAACTAGTGATGGGAAGTTCGGATCATTTTACCGACTCGGACCTTTGAGTCTCGTTCAGCAAAATGAACGAATCTTTTTTTCGAGTCATTTCGTTCATTTTAACAAAATATAATTAAAATGTTACGTGTTACTTCCCTAATATGTCTACAATCGTTCAAGAACGACCCATCACTAATTTCAACTACCGGTAGATAATGGCATTGGATCATAAATCTTTCAAGCCTAGTCATATTTGGGAGTGGATTATTCTTTGGAGGCCGTAAATCAAACCAGTTCACACAGGGGTCTGCATCAAAATGTTTTTTAAATGCATCAGAAGTGACTATAAAGGTCATGGAAATTCATTGATCGAAGTGGAAACCTATTTGGGGCTTTATTTCCTTGAAATAAAATCTTAAATGATAACAAGTGCCCAGTTTTCGCTTCCATGCTGTCATTTATTTGTTGTTTTTTCCCCATAAAAGTGAGCTTTAAGAAAATAACGTCATTAAAAAAATGTCAGTTTCGTTTGCGCTGAAATGCTGAATCCGAAATCGCCCCCTATAACCTCAGTAACTAGCCTCTACATTAGGCCACTATTACTAATACAGTTCACGTGAAGGAGTAAATGAAAACTTGAGTGAATTCGGACACTGAGTACACCGGAAGGACTTTTGCATAGTTTGTGCTTGCTGTTTAATAATAATTTGAAACTGGCAGCTCCAGTAGTAAGATGAAATAATTATAAGTAATTAACGCTGTATTACTTCATGATGAACGAGCGCTTTGTAAAATTAACGGATGGATGATGCAGCTGCGGGCGCCTTCTGGCGAGACGACTCTCACAGTGCATTATGGGTATTATTACCCAGGTATTATCTAGCCTTTGAGCATACATCAGTTGTACCAAAGAGTATTGAGGCGAAACTCAGTAGAACGTTCCATTGCAACAGCGGCGCCCAGCAGCAGCCCTGCGCTCGAAGTTCCGCCATTCTGGACTGAAAGCGACTCGGCACTCCACTAGATTCTAGCTGTCGCTATGGCAAATATCAGCTGCTTTGTTAAAAAAAAACATACATTAAAGCTGAAATACAGCCTGAACGATGACAACAATAACGTACAATCACTAGACTAGTGATCATCAAACCCTTTTAACAGTTTATTTTACAGATTTTATTTTAAAGTTTTCCCTTTTTTTCACAAAACCTTTTGCTCTCTAGAAACCATGTCAGTTTCGGTTGAAAATATTTTAAGTTCAAGTGTTAGCATTATAAACACTGAATTAATACCAACATATGAAACTAAATTAATGACAGAAAAATGAGGAATGTTGAACAATAAATATATAACAGGAATAGAACAGCTTGACAGTAAACTGTTTTTGCAGTATTGTCTTAATGTCTGTTAAAGGAAGACTGTAAACAAAAAACTTTTTTATGTAAAAAACACACACTTACACACACACACACGTACAGCCACTTTCTCCAAAATTGTTTAATTAATTATGACAAGAGACACAGCAATGCATCATGTTCTAATCTAGATCATCATGTTTGTAGTGTGTTCCAGGGGATTAAAACGTACAATATATATTTCAGACCTAGTGGAGTAATAGTAAATAATAATATAGTAAGTAATTGTAAATGTGTAAAGTTGCATAAGCTCATTACTTAGTGTCATATCCCTATAAATCATTATTATGGTTTCTATGGCTAGGACCAGCAGTTCCTACAAGGATTTAAGTTTACTACTAGACTAAATTAAAGTGCATAAGACAGCGATACGTCCACCTTCAAAACACACAATATTTTACACTTTTGTGAATAATTACCTGTCAGGGTCTTTATCAGAGTTTCGCCTCTTGGTCTTCTATACTCTTTGGTTGTACACTCGATAATGTCCACTAAGGTTTCGGACACCACTAAAAATGTCTGTCCCCTCAAATAGTGCCCTATTTAAGGGTATAGTATAGGGAGCGATTTCGGACACAGAGCTGATTAGAACGGTTTTTAACGTTCCATGTCGAACCCCGCAAGTAGTTTCAGTTTGTGGCACTTTCCAAAAATTATTAACCTTCAAGATTGCACATGTTATAGCGAACGTATTCTCTTGATATCATAGTCTATAATACACTTCATAGACTATGATATATTTTCCCTAATTCTTCTTCTTCTTCTTCTTAGTTTTATGGCGAGTTGCAATCTTTGCGCATATCGCCACCTACTGTGCTATTGTGCAATCAGGATTTTCTTTTATCATATTAGTTATTCTGTCTCAACTCTGAAGCCATCAAGAGTTCAGGTATCGGTTGGCGCTGCGTGTTCAGCTCCTCCGTCCTCCACACTGAACCCCTTAGACTCCAAACCGAAACAGAACATCTTTTATATTATATTCTTTTATCTAGTCCTGTGCTATATAAAAAATTAAATAAAATCCTATATCCTGTTCTATCACTATTAAATTCATATCCCAATAAATATCCCACATCCTTATTCTTCTTACCTTTATCTTTTAGATATGCTATTAGTTCCTTCCTATCCTCACTATACTTTATACATTCATATATTGCATGCTCAATTGTTTCTTTCTCACCACAAAATTCACATAAGCCGTTAATATGTACACCAATTAAAAACAATGAACCATTCAGCCCTGAATGATTTTCCCTAATTATTTCCAATCTTGCTTTTAACACTTGAATCATTAGTGAAATTAAAAAAACAGGCATTACTTCGGGTACCAAAAATTCTTGGGTCCTTCTGCACGTTGTCACTGAGAGGAACTTGACGTCCTTGTCATCATAGAGGCTGGTACTGTTGCTGTAGCTAAACAGAGTTAATTAACATGATGTTTATAATATAAATTGTGCGACCGCGACTGTTAATTTTTATTATTCTGCTCGACCAATTGCACTGGATTAACGGAAGCTAAAAATGTCGGTAAATCGCTGTGTTTACTTATTGTCGCGCTCTCACATCCGATACCGGGTCTGTGCTAGCACAGCTGCTGTAGCAAACAACACTACACTGCATCCAACAAGAAGGACATTTGAAAAATTATCAAGTAGACATTCAAATTCAAACAGTTCATCGAGACCCCTGGACACATCCCTGTTTGTACCGCTCACCGTCAAAAGTGATGAAGGCGGGGACGGGCCAGTCGGCGAGGAGTTGACGCAACCGCTGGACAAAAGTAAACTCCGTGTTTAGAAGTGTTGTGTATATTAGTATATAATCGATTTATAGATGACTCACTTGAAGTTCTGGACATTCATATTTGCATCTGAATGTATATTTAATATACCTCATTCAACATATGTATATGAAACCAAACTATAGATTTGACCATGCAGATGAAAATTACAATACTCGATTCAGCTAACCATAATCAGAAATACATCCGATCGTTGTGTATTTACCCGTTTTAACAGGTGAACTTCTCAAGGTACTGAATAGATTCTACAAAAGGAAAGAGATGCAAAAACTGGCTGCTGACCAGGGGCTTGATGGTAAGAATCATGGACCCATTATTACTACATGATCTTACATAATTAACATTGTATTTGTCAACCACACCCATCACATTATGTTATTATAACAACACGCCCATCTAAAAACAATGCACAGAGAAATATGTCAGGAATACTACTGTATTTTGTTTGTCACAAAGCATTTCGTGATCGTTGTTTATTTGTTCTTTAACAGCTCGTCTCTTTCATCAAGCATTTGTCAGTTTTAGGAAATATGTGCTGGAAATGAACTCACTAAATGCTGACTTTCACATCATTCTTAGTGACATCTGTCACATTGTGTTATTATAACAACACAATGCACAGAGAAAAAACAATGCACAGAGAAATATGTCAGGAATACTACTGTATTTTGTTTGTCACAAAGCATTTCGTGATCGTTGTTTATTTGTTCTTTAACAGCTCGTCTCTTTCATCAAGCATTTGTCAGTTTTAGGAAATATGTGCTGGAAATGAACTCACTAAATGCTGACTTTCACATCATTCTTAGTGACATCTGTTGTGGAGCTGGTGAGTATTTACATCAGATATACTGAACTGTCAATATCCATAAGAAAACCCCAACTCTATCATGTTCCTTTCCTCATTCCAGGTCACATAGATGACATTTTCCCATACTTTATGAGACATGTCAAACAGATTTTCCCTATGTTGGACTGTATGGATGATTTACGCAAGATCAGTGACTTACGGGTCCCAGCAAACTGGTACTGAGAGTTTCATCCACAGATTTTATCCAATAATGTATACTTTCTCATCTGCACTTACTGAAGTTGTAATGCACAATACTCTGAATCAGTCATTACAGTTAGTATTTTTTTTACCAATACAATCTTTTGAACGTGATAAATGTGTGTTACAGGTATCCAGAGGCCAGGTCTATTCAAAGAAAGATTGTTTTTCACGCAGGACCCACCAACAGTGGGAAGACCTATCATGCCATCCAGAGATTCCTAGCAGCCAAGTCAGGAGTTTACTGTGGACCGCTAAAGCTGCTGGCCCATGAAATCTATGAGAAGAGTAATGACGCAGTGAGTTTCACTCCTCAGACTAGCTTATTTTGTTTTTTTATGTAATTACACATTAGTTGTGCATGTTAGAGCCGCTATGTATGGTTTACTATTAGGGAGTGCCATGTGATCTGGTCACAGGAGAAGAGAGAATATTTGTTGATCCAGAAGGAAGACTGTCTGGCCACATTG